GATCTTGGTGTGAGGCATCTTTCTGAGACATCACAGCTGTGCTTGCAGTCCAGGTTCCAGGTCTCTTTTTATTGTAGGCCCTAGGAGTGGATGCCGTTGTATGCTTAGCATTGAAAAGCTTTGGAAGTAGTAATGAATGCCTTACTATTAATATTCATTAATTGAAAGAGGATGTAAAGGCTCAAGGTTGCACTATGACTGATAGTTACAATTGGTTTTCTACGAAGACCATGAAATCTCCCTTTTTCTAGAGCAGTTTCCTGTCCCGTAAGGACAGCTTTAGGTGTTTGGCTGCAAGACAGGTCAGATGCTTCATGACAGATTGTGTTTATCTACCAAAGTTTTGCAGATGTAATCAGTAGCTTCCATATTTGATTCCAAAATGAGAATGTTTTTTGACTATAACTGTGTAGAAAGATAGATCCCCATGGAGACCACTGGAAGGATCCTTTTGGGTTGCTTTTCTTTGGGGTGGTGTTTGTTTGTTTGCCATCTTTTACAAGCTACTTTCAGTAAGTTTGACCTTGTGTTGTGCGAAGTGTAAAATAAGCAAGGAAATGGCCAAGCTCTTAATTTTCTGCTTTATTGTCAGTTTGTGCTGGTGAAAGTGGCACGCTTGTGCTTTTTTTTAGTTCAGTACTTTCACTGCTTGCTACCTCTGTCTGGAATTACTTCGTTGTTGTGAAAACCAGCACAAATTACCTTAAAGACACATTGGTAAGCCCTTAGCTCTTTTTCTCCTCTGCTTGTTCAGAGCTCTGGAACATTGCCAGAATTTATATGAATAGGAAGAGTGACTTAGCTATTTCTGGAATTCTCAAAGCAGATAGTTGTAAGAATGTGGAATGCTAATCTAGCAAGAAAAAGTACATAGCGTAGCAGTCTGGAAATGATTGGTGGTCTAAAAGAGCTTGTAATTCAAAAGAGCAATGGAAACCTACCAGCACCTGATGGCTTGTAGGAGTTGCTGCAGTCATGTTTTAGCTACGCAGAACAATGATCCAAATGAGATCAGTCTAGTGACCCTGACTGGAATGTGAACTACTTGGAGCTTTTGTCCAAACAGCTGATGTGATCTAAACTGAACCCTAGCTTGGTATCAACTTTTTTTTCCTAGGAGAAAGTACTTTTTTGTAGGCCTATGACTTAATAAGCCTTTGATGTGTTTGTGTTGCATTGTTGGGCGCTTTTCCCCACCGTTTCTTCTCTGCTCTCTACTTCACAGTTCTTCCGTGTGCTGAATGGTTACTCCCTCCAGCACAAACTGCTGCTTACAGGAACTCCCCTGCAGAACACCCTGGAAGAACTGTTCGCCCTGCTGCACTTCCTGACGACAGAGAGATTCCA